ATGTTTTGGGTGCAATTTTTAATAACACCTACACTCAAACGCTTCTTTCTTTCTTTCTTTCTTTCTTTCTTTCTTTCTTTCTTTCTTTCACCTTCTCTCGCTCTCTATCTCTCTCTCTTTCTTACTCTCTTGCTTTCTTTCTTACTCTCTCACTTTTTCTTACTCTCTCTCTTTCTTTCTTACTCTCTCTCTTTCTTTCTTATTCTCTTTCTTACTCTCTTTCTTTCTCTCTTCCCGTTTTCTTTCTCGCTATCTTTCTTTCTCTTTCTTTATTTCTTTCTCTCTCTCTTTCTCTCTTTTTTTCACTCTTTCTCTCTTTCTTTCTCTCTTTCTCTTTCTTTCTCTTTCTGTCTCTCTCTCTGTCTCTCTCTCTCTCTCTCTCATATGCAAGTAAATGCAATATTTTTGGAACATATGACGCACCGGTGTATAATACACAACCTTATTTTAAAGATAAAATTTTGAAAAAAATACCTACAGTTTTATTTGAAATATATTTATCTAAAAAAAATTATGTAACTCTTTAAAAATGGGTAAAAAAGAAAATATCCAAATAAGAAAATAACTTAAACAAACCAAAAAGGTTTTCTGTTATTTAATTTGGTTCAAAACCTATAAACTCTTCATTGCTTTCACTGTCGTTTGGAAAGGAATCGGACATTTCGTCCTTGAACCCAGAATTAGGATCAAAGTGAATGTTATCCTCAATCGTATCCATTGCTTTATTGATATCACAGTTTCTAAAGGACTAAATAGATCACATCTTCCTCACAAATACTTCACCCACATAGACACCTGAGCAAGTATCAATATTTTCCTTCGTCCACTGGATGTGGGGGGGAGTGTCGTAGATAAGTCTTTCTGTTGAGCCCGGTTGTTTCATTCCATCCTCATTAAAGTATTAAGTGGTCTATTAATAGAAACATTGAGAGGTTGCAATTTGCACATTTGAAATCCACATTACTGTTATAAAGAATACAAATTAAGTAAACTATGTATACATATAGGATGAAACAGATTGTGTCATCAAATTTTTGAGTAAAATAATTGCAACTAATACACCGAAAACATTACAAAATGCAAAACTATTTCCCTTATTGTAATTTATTTAGTATTATTGAGTTGTATATATATATATATATATATATATATATATATATATATATATATATATATATATATATATAAATTATTTTTACATAAAGTGTGTCTGTGAAGGAACCAAATGAATAAAATGACAAGAGGAAAAACTATTCTTTGTCAACGCGTTTCGTCCTCTGAGGACATTTGACTTGATAAGATCCGTCGGCTGAGAATAGTTTTTCTTGACTTTTATTTATTCTCTTGACTTTTATTTATTCATATATATATATATATATATATATATATATATATATATATATATATATATATATATATATATATATAGTAACGAAAATCTTGGTAATCCGTATAGATAATCCAAACATTGTTAGTAAATTTGATAGTAAATTCTGATACTTACCCCCTCCTCCTCAATATTAAGTATTTTAATAAAAATAAATTTTAAAAGTGTCCCTTCCCTCTCTAAACTCGACCATGTCTCTCACACTATTCCTCACCACCCTCTATGTCACCTTATATAAGCTTAATACTGCCCTTCAAAAGTGTAAATTTTAAATTCATTTTTTCTTTTCACCTTTGAAAGTGAAGTCTGATGATCGAGAAAAAAATAAAATTCTCTGATGAAATAAATTATAACTAATGGAGCCTTAAAGTGGTCTGATTTTCTTTAAATTAATATATATATATATATAAAATTGTGGGTGTATATGTGAGTATACCTACTGGGTTGACTTCATGATTTGTACAGAAGATAAATAGATTCTCACATATTAGGAGGCAACCATGTGCGTAGTCCAGGAGACCCCCCAAAAAACAAATACCAAACTAAGAAATCATAAATTATAATAATGAATAACAGAAAACTATAACAGCTAGAAAGATGAATGTCGAAATTGTGAGATTATAAGTTCTAAATTATATTAATACTTATAAAATATGACTATTATAATAGTCATAAACTTCCCTCGGAAAAAGAAAGTGAAGCATAAAAAATATTCAACATAAATCGTTTGCTACTTACGAATAAGAAAAAACTTTTGTTATTTGGTGTCTAGATGATATCTGATATTAAACATAAATTGAAAACAAGAAATCCCAGTGTTTTTTAGTAAATTGTTGTGACCAGGTTCAGAAGACAAAGTCAATAATTACGCCTCGAAAAAGGAAGATAACAACAGCAGTTATAATAATAATAATAATAATAATAATAATAATAATAATAATAATATCAGCGACACTCGTTCGATGTCAGATTATAAATCAATTGCAATTAGCGAAATTTAAGTAGCTGCATTAAAAGGAAAGATATTTAAAGCAACAGCCATTATTTGCCGACTGAGTTTCTTGTATCAAAAAGCAAAGAACGATTAGAGGAAAAAAAAACTTTAATTTTCACATTTATTTTGTATTTTTATGTTTCTTTTTATGTTTCGCATTTCCCTTCACAATTTCATTTTTCCAATTTTTAGTCTTTTCTTCCTTTCTTTTTTTATATCTCTCTTTCCCCTTTTTCTTTTCTTTCTTTTTTCTTTCTTTCTATCTTTTTTCTTTCTTTCTATCTTTTTTCTCTCTTTTGACTTTCTTTCTTTCTATCTCTTATCTTTTCATCTTCTCTTTCTCTCATTTATTATCCGTGAACTTTTCTAACTAATATTAATTTTACGGATGCCTCATCGTGCCGTAAAAGTCGGTAAGCTAGATTTATAAATGATTAATAGAGAGTTCGATCCTCAACGGGTGTCTCATACATGTAACCTTGCACCAAAACTAAGTGTTGTGAATTTGGACTCGGCCGTCGTGCGAAAGACATAAAAATACTCCTACACCAAGAGGAGTAGTAATAGAAGTAGCGTTTGCTGAAAACAGTTAATCATTCACGGCTAACATTCTCTTCCCTAGTTTCTATTCTATATTATGTTACCTTGTACAAAAAGGTAATAAACTTATTGTTAAACCAATTCTGGTTTTCTACTGTTGTTTTTGATAACTCAGTTTCAGCACTCTGCTTAGTAAATAAGCAGTACCTTTAATTATCTCCCTTTTTCTCCATGCCAGTTTCACATACACACCTACAATAAAATTATATTCCTTAAATGTCTAAACCTAGTTTACGGTTTCTAGACTTGAATCTAAACCAATTGCTTATTCAGACACACATGTCCCTTACTTGATACACACGTCTTTACTTGACAGCACCAATTTTAGAAATTGTAAATGTATTTAAAAGATTGATTAGACTCGACATTTTCAGTAGAGAGCTTCGTCTATGACGAACTTTTAAATATAACGCTCTAACTCGAATTTTTATACTTACAGTTGGCATTGAAAAAATATCTTGGCCAAGAAAATAACTGCACTTTTTTTACGCTAATGATCTTGTCGACTGCTGTCCGAGATAATATTTTTCCTTTTCCAAATATCTTGTTGGGTTAATCGATAAAACTCCGACAGTTCGACTTTAATTGATAGCAAATGTTGGCTATTCTGCTGACAGTAGGTAAGTATTCGGCAATTCTATGAAGGTTCCGGATGACATCCTATTAAATTCTTCTGCTGTCATCCCATTAAATTTTCCGGGTACCATCCCATTAAAGTATCCTGACGATGCATTAAAGGTTCCGACTGACATCCCATTTAAGATTACTTACTTTTAACTATCAGGTCATCCCATAAGTTCTGTCCGAATTTTAACTTTTTGTTAAAATGAACGAAATTTAAAGACTATTTTATAATGTCTAATGGAGCTGAACATTATTTTTATGTTTAGATGCATTAAAACTGATCAAATTTTATTTCAGAGAACAATAAAATTAAATTTTGTTTGATTAAAACCCTGCTAACATGGAAGTACCCAAGAATCATTTGAGGTACATAATGTTTTATGAGTTCAAGAAAGGAAACTCAGCAACCGAAGCGGCTAGAAACATTCACTCAGTTTATGGAGAGGAATGTGTGAATGAAAGAACTTGCAGAAGATGGTTTGCAAAATTTAGTGGTGGAGATTTCACCCTTGAAGATGAAGATCGAACCGGATGTCCAGTTAAGTTTGATGAAAAGCTTCTTGAAGCAGCCCTTGAAGAAAATCCTGCTTTATCAGTTGAGGAATTGGCAGTGGTTCTCAGTTCAAACCATACAACTGTTCATCGTCATCTTCAATAACTTGGAAAAGTTTCTAAACTTGGAAAATGGGTGCCTCATGAATTATCTGAAAAGAACCTCAAATCCCGAGTTGACATCTGCTCTTCTCTCCATTCTCGCCAACTTGTTTCACCTTTTTTGGATAGACTTGTGACTGGCGACGAAGAATGGATCTTTTATCGAAATGTTAAGTGTCGTAGACAGTGGCTTGGTAAAGGGGAAGGACCCCAGCCACAGCCGAGAAGGGAACTTCATGGGCAAAAGGTTCTTTTTTCAATCTGGTGGGATCGCCAAGGAATAATCCACTTTGAATTCTTACCACCTAATGCAACAATTAATGCTCAAATATACTGTCAGCATTTAGAGCGTTTGGACCAAACTTTGAGGAAAAAAAGACCCGCTCTAGTGAATCGAAAAGAGGTGATGTTTCATCAGGACAATGCGCGACACCACACAGCAAGAATCACGTCTCAAAAGATCGAAGAACTTGGTTGGGAGAAAATTCCTCATCCACCTTATTCTCCCGATCTTGCTCCTTCAGACTACCATTTGTTTCGTAGCTTACAGAATCATTTGGAAGAAACAGCTTTTGTAACAAAGGAAGAGGTTAAAACTGACATTTGTGAGTTCTTCGAATCAAAGCCAAAAGAACTTTACAGTAATGGAATTAGTAAGCTTATTAAAGGAAGTCATAGATAATCAGGGAAAATACATTGTTGATTGAATCTGTAATTAAATGTAACATTTGGTCACTTGTTTTCTTTATTCAAAATTCGGACAGAACTTATGGGATGACCTGATAGATGTGCTGATTGATGGACAAGTCTTTGTAGAATTGGTTATGTTGTTGCAAGATTTCTTTTCTTTTGCCTTCGAACCTTAATGTACCGATATGACTCCAAAAATATATATAATGGGTAAAAAATCATTAAATATTTTTTATACAAAAGTTCATCAAATGCTTTTCTAAATTCGTATTCCATTTTGGATTGCTTGCACATGCTTATTGATTGCTCATTATTGCTTATATTTTATCTCCCAATCAATCAAAATAAAATCTCACTTCCTACCCGATCCCTTTCTATCCACCCTCTCTCTCTCTCTCTCTCTCTCTCTCTCTCTCTCTCTCTCTCTCATTTGCACATAGATTTCATCAATCTACAATTTGCATTCGAATATAAAAATTACTATCTTTGAATAATGTTCATGTAATAATACAGGTTCGTGATAGTTGACTAAGCATTGAAAAAAAAAGGCTTCATTAAATGGTTCAAATTTTGCTTTCCTGTTTCTTCCTTTCATGAAAACAAGTTCTCATTTAACAAACAATAAAATTCAAACATAAACAGTGAACCAAATAACAAAGCAAATAAAGATATTCACTGTTAGATTTTAATTAGGAAAGTCAAATTTTTCCCCAGTAAAATTTAATAACAGTATTGGTCAAATTTTCATGTCATATATTACAACAGAATATTGTATAAGTTTCAGCTTGTAATATTTATTCTTATTAAAATATTACTGGTTTCAAGAGCGTTAGCTCTTAATAGGCCAACAAACTAAGTACAACTAAATTTTTAGATATAGACAATCGAGATATATTTCATTAACACAATATTCTGTATAAATGAATTAATGATGAATCTTATGATTGGACGGTTAGATAACGGTTATTGGTGCTGTATGCGAACTCAGCGAGCTGTGTTCAAATTTCAATCTCATCCATTGCATTTACTTTCGCACTGATGACCTTGGTAAAAGCATGAATCCATTACTCCATTTCCCCACTGAAGTAGTGTTAGTGGATATTTTTCAATAATGATTCAAATACTAGTTTAGCCATTAGGTCCCACATTGTAGTCATATGATCAATACTAAAAATTAATTTTGAGAAATCAGTTTTCATGTACTTCTAGAGGAACCCAAACGAGGCTATGCCGAAGGGCAGAGTCTCGTTTGGGGAGGTAGATAGATACCCAACCCCGTCTATACGGGGTCTACGGGGAATTTTTGCCGGAGCATTGTGGGAAGGTAACGGATAAATACCGTTTTCATGTCCTTCTCCGTCCTATTTACACATCACTATTTGTAATCTTTACTTAAACGTTCTAGATTTGTTGCGTTCATATATCGTCAGAATTATTGATATTCGGCATCTTTCTCTGTTCGCAACACCAGCTTCTTCAAATATTTTATTGCTGGTCAATTTCTTCTTTTTTTTCTTTTCTTTTTTTGGGGGGTGGGGGTACCATTTCAATCTTTCTCAAATCTGTTTTTTTTATAAATTTTAAAGCCAGTTCTTTTTCTTGTTCAAATTTTGCCACTGATTTCAGTTTTCTTTTTTGATTATTCGTTGATCACTTTTCAACTTGTTCGCAATTTTCAACATTGTCTTCATATGACTTAATAACGTTACAGTTGCTTTGTTGAGTTTATATGTTTCTTATAACTTAGGGCAATCCTTATATACCCGAAATTTAAAAATAAATTTTAATATTTATTTACTATATGATCAACAACTTTCGCACTACAATAATATAAGCTGAAATTCTCTTTGCCTATTTATCATATAAATATAAATATCTCCTGATAATCTTTTGGGTTGATTAATATCCAATTTCTTGTTAGAATATTTACTTGCATAATAAAATCTGACATAGTCTACAAAGAGAATACAATCTATTAAAATAAAATAAAGACTTTTAAACAATCCGAACATTATGAGTGCGTGCAGGTGTATTCATATACGTGAGTGTGTCTATGTGTCTAACTACCTTCATGTTTTTGCTTATCTGATCACGTCTATGTGTGTGTGTACTCGTTTACATGTACGTTTCTCTCAGTACGTGTGTCCGTATGCTTATGAGTGTATGTATCGCTGGCGATACAAACTGACCGAAGAAAGTCAGGATATGGAACGAATAAAACAATTTCAAATTTTTACATAATTCAATACTTTGTAAAATCTGAATCCCCGAAGAGGATTGAAACTAAAGACATTTACTGTCCATTTAATGTGTATATTTATTATGGATGTTCATTCACTCTCTCGCTCCTTCCCTCTCTCTCCCTTTCTCTTTCCTTCTCACGCCCTCTCCGTCGACTTCTGTGTGTTTGTGATTAAGCAGCAATGAATTATAAATGTGTGAGACGAGCGATCAGCTTTATCCAGTTCGTTTCTGGCATGAAAGTGAGACATAAAAACAGATTATCGCTAACGCCTTCTTCCTCCCGGTCCAACCATAAGCGCCCAACTCATGTCCATCAACTGAGCCAAGTGACGATAGATGATGAGCTTCTGTGTCCAACCGAGGTGAAAAGTGCTATCGAATTACAAGGGTTGAACAGTTCCAGTTCGACGCAAGACCTTGTATATTGGAAGGGTGTGGGTAAAAGAGTGCAATATTGTGACATTGTCTGAGTGTAAATAACATTGAAC